GAACTCCTGACTTTGTGATCCACCTGCCTCGGCCTATCAAAGTGCTGGGATTACAGATGTGAGCCACCGTGCCCAGCCTGTATTTGTTTGACTCAAATGTCATTTAATAGAGTTTTGACATTTTTTAGTCAATGTTTTCATTTTCTGATTTTATTAACATATTTTTATTGTGTTTTCAGAGAGTTTTTTTCTGCATTAACTTTTGGAATATATTGAGGTTTTCTTTGTGTCCTAATAGGTGAACAATTTTCATGAATGAGTTTTTTAAAAGAAGGGGTATTTTCTGAGAGTACAGAACTTAATATACAACTGTAAGATCATCTTACTATATGTTTTGGGTTTTTAAATCCATTTATTTTTCTTGGGATATTTTTTCTTTTTTGTGTTTTCCTGCCTATTTCTCCTTTTTAAAATCCAGTAATCTTTATGAAAGTTGATACTCTGGTGCATAGATACTCATAACTGATAAAATTAATCTTAGCCTTATAAAGTCGTTTAGACTTTAGGTCATTTGGAGCTTTTTGTCTAGAATTCTTTGATTTATATTAAGTTGTATCCCTGATATCTTTTGTTTGCCTTTTATGTCTTTGATCATATTTCTATATTTAACATTTTAGAATCTCTTTAAATATATATTTTGGGATATTTTGGTTTGTGATTCAAACCCCCTCTGTCCTCTAGTAGAATCCTTAGAAAGATGATAGTATTCCCTGAGTTCTTGCATGTTTGTGCCTTTGAATTTGAAGCACAGCTTTGCTGGATGAAAATATTTTTCTTTTTAAGTAAATTAAGCATATTTGCACATATTTATATTAGGTATATCTGCTTGCAGTTATACTGTTTTATATTTATATTTTAAGTCTTTTACCACGTGGTCTGTTTTCTCTTTTTTGTTTTGGTAATTCTGCCCTATAGAAATACATGTATTTTTGTTCTATTGGTTTGTCTTTGTGTATCTTTTTTTTTGAGACCGAGTTTTGCTTTTGTTGCCCAGGCTGGAGTGCAATGGTGCAATCTTGGCTCACTGCAACTTCCACCTCCCAGATTCAAGCAATTCTCCTGCCTTGGCCTCCCGAGTAGCTGAGATTACAGGCATGTGCCACCACACCAGTTAATTTTTGTATTTTTAGTAGAGATGGGGTTTCTCCAGGTTGATCAGGCTGGTCTTGAACTCCCAACCTCAGGTGATTCACCTGTCTCAGCCTCCCAATATGCTGGGATTACAGGTGTGAGCCACCATGCCCAGCCGTCTTTGTGTATCATTTTATATACCGTTAGTCCTCCCTTTCTTGCTTTGTTTCTTTCCTATGATCAACAAGCAAATTAGCTTGTAAATTCTTCATCTTCCTCTCCTCCACTACCCAATTATATTCAATAATATTATTTTTCATTGTATATGATAGATGACATCTTTTGTAAGACATACCATTATGTCACATACCACTTACATAAAAAATATCAACCTGACCGGGCGTGGTGGCTCATGCCTGTAATCTCAGCACTGTAATCTCAGCACTTTGGGAGGCCGAGGTGGGCAGATCACAAGGTCAAGAGATCAACACCATCCTGGCCAACATGGTGAAACTCCGTCTCTACTAAAAATACAAAAAATAGCCGGGCATGGTGGCACATGTCTGTGGTCCCAGCTACTTGGGAGGCTGAGGCAGAAGAATCGCTTGAACCCAGGAGGCGGAGGTTGTGGTGAGCCGAGATTGCGCCACTGCACTCCAGCCTGACGATAGAGCAAGACTCCGTCTCAGAAAAAAAAAAAATTCAACTTTTGACCATTAACTATAAAACACATTTTGATTTCACAGATGTTAAAATGTGGGGTGAACATGTGTTTTAAAGTCAATGAAACAGGGCTTGCTCGGCACAGTGGCTCATGCCCATAATCCCAGAACTTTCAGAGGCCAAGGTGGGAGGATCTCTTAAGGCCAGAAGTTCAAGGCCAACCTGGGTAACACAATGAGATGCTGTCGCTGTATAATTAAAAAAAATAAAAATCGGTGCAGTGGCTCACAGCTGTAATCCTAAGACTTTGGAAGACCAAGGCAGGTGGATCACTTGAGCCCAGAAGCTCGAGACCAGCCTGGATAGCATGGTGGAACCTGATCTGTATAAAAAACACAAAAATTAGCTGAGTGTGGTGGTACATTCCTATAGTCCCAGCTACTTGGGAGTCTGAGGTGGGAGGATCACCTGAGCCAGGGAGGTCAAGGCTGCATTGAGCTGTAATCATGCCACTGCACCCCAGCCTGGGCAACAGAGCTAACCCTGTCTCAAACAAAACAAAAAAATAAAAATTTAATCAGTAAAAGCCTTATTATTTACTATTGTACACTTAAGCTGATATTTCTTACCGGTTTGTTCTAAATGATATTCTTTAACTTTTTTTTTTAATTTTAATTTTTGTACTTTTTGTAGAGATAGGGATTTACCATGTTGCCCAGGCTGGTCTCAAACTCCTGGGCTCAAGTGATCCCCCAAAGTGCAGGAATTACAGGTGTGAGCCACCTTGCCCATCCTCTCCAATCATCTTGGTTGGCTGACACTCGTCCTCTAGTAGAATCCTTAGAAAGATGATAGTATTCCCTGACTTCAGGCATATTTGAGCCTTTGTATTTGAAGTGCAGCTTTGCTGAAGATAAAATTCCTTGGTTTACATTTTCTGTCCCTGAATATATTGTAGGTGTTCTTCTGTTGATTTACGGTGTTGAATATTGTTATGCTAACTTGATTTTCTTTAACCAAAATTTTACTTGGATAAGCCTCATATTGACCATTCTAGGTAAATTTTCCCATATATACAGTTTGTCTTTCAATTCACATCATCTTTTATTTCAGTAATGGTCTACTGAAGTATAGATTTTTTAGTTTTTTAAGATCCAATTTAGGCTGGGCACGGTGGCTCACACCTTTAATCCCAGCACTTTGGGAGGCCAAGATAGGCAGATCATCTGAGGTCACGAGTTTGAGACCAGTCTGGCCAATATGAAACCCCATCTTTACTAAAAATACAAAAATTAGCTGGGTGTGGTGGTGAGCACCTGTAATCCCAGCTACTTGGGAGGCTGAGGCAGGAGAATTGCTTGAACCTGGGAAGTGGAGGTTGCAGTGAGCCGAAATGGCGCCACTCCACTCCAGCTGGGTGACAGAGCAAGACTGTCTCAAAAAAAAAAATCTAATTTAGATAAATGTTACAAGAACAATTCAAATATTTTTTTCCTCTTGAAATATTTGAAAGCCACCAACATGAGTGCTCCATCACCCTGAAAACTTCAGTCTGTACCTGCATACAAGGGCGTTCTTTTTGATAATATAGTACAATCATCAGAAACAGAAAATTAATATTTATAGATTATTGCCATCTAATCCTCTGTCTCCCTTTCAAGTTTATCAATTGTCCCAGTGATGCCTTTATAGGAAAAGTATCCAGTCCAGGATTATGTAGTGTATTTACTTGACATATCATTTTAATCTCATTTAATCTGGAATAGTTCCTCAGCTTTACCTTGACTTTCATGTCTTGACACTTCTGAAGAACAGGCCAATTATTTTGTAGAATGTCCCTCAATTTAAATTTTGTCATGATTTAGATTCAGATTATATGGCTTTGACAGGGATGTCACAGAAGGGATGCTGATTCTCATGGCCTCTTATCAAACAGCATAATTTCGATTTGTTTCAGTGTTGATTGTGGTCACTTACTTAAGATGCAGTCAGACTTCTCCAACCTAACATGACTGCTTTTCCTTTTGTAATAAGTATTTGGTGGAGAGGCATATAAATGTCTCATTCATGGAATCCTTTTATTCAATGGGGTATTAATCATTATCATAATGCTTAAATATTCTCAAATTTGGCCAGTTTCATCTTAAACTGATTCTTTTAATAGATCTCCATCATTTTTTTGAGCAGTTTTACTTTATGTCTCAGTAAGCTATTCCAGACTCATCTTGTATAGTCGTCCTTCAGTACTCATGGGGAATTGGTTCTAAGACCCCTGAGTATACCCAAATTTGCATATACTCAAGTCTCAACAGTTGGTCCCGCGGAACCCACATCTAGGGAAAAGCCCTCCCTAACCTGCAAATACTGAATTTTCCATCCAGGTGAAAACATTATGCATTTAAGTGGACCCATGCAGTTCAAACCTGTGTCATTCAAGAGTCAGCTGTACTTTCCAGACTTGGAATGAGCGAGATCTCCAAGGAGCCCCAGTTCCTTTTAGAGGAGAATGCTATTTGGAAACCAAGATCTGGGTACTGGTTGTGCTCATTGCTGCTAGGGTGTCATTTCTTCTAGCCCTCATAGTGGATTGGATAGAGTTAGAAAATACATGTATGTATATGAACACAAATACATCTAGATTCTAATCCAGCACCACAAAGTTCACCTTCAGCCTTTCCATTTTCATAATTCCTTTATCTGAAAATGTGAAACTTCAATGTGAAATTTTATTTGCTTGCTTACTATAGTCTCCTGACTCTGCTGTCTTCTGAGCATTTGGAGGGAAGAGGTGGTGACCAGAAGTAGAGCAGTGGTTCTCTCTTTTTTTTGAGTGGTAGTGGTAGTAGTATATTTAAGGAAAATAGGTGTTACTTAAATTCTGCAATTGTCAGATACATGTTATATATTACAGTTTTCAAAATACAAAATTGTTAAAGCAATTCATCACATTAATGATTACAAGAGAAAAATTATCAAATCTTCTCCACAGAGTATATGCACTATGAATACCCAGTGTGATATTCGCACAGTGAGTGTACACCTGTAGAATCAGGTGTCTGACTGAGAGTACAGGGGAGAGGAAGCAGCTGAAATCCAAATGGTTTGTTCTAAACATGAAAGGATCTAGATTCTGGGTGATTTATTTGGAGGTGACAATTGCTGTTCTGAAAAACAGCAAATCATTTCAATTCTTAACCAGAGCATTTTTCTAAGCATATTTCTAATAAAGGTACCACTTGTGTTTATGAAAAAAATTAAAATCTTACATTTTCGTCAAAGCCTTCTCTTCTGGCTTGTTCAGCCAAATCTCTGCTGTCTTTGGTACTGAAAATATAAAATAGAAATAAGAGGCAAATGGCAGTAAAAAAGGAAATGCCACCATAAAATACAATTGGATCTGTAGTAAGGATCTGAATAGTCTTTCTTTCTGATAACACTAATTATTTAGAAAATGTGATCATTAACAAATTCTTCAGAATATCATGTCATTAACTGTGAAAAAAATGTTTCTGTTCCACTGCCAGAGTTCTAGGTTTGGGAAGTGTTTTGACACCAAAGTCATTTAATAAATATAAGTGTAAATAGAAGTATTGTTCAAAAGGATTGTGTGTAAAATGTTATTTTTATAGCCAAATAAATGCATTTAATTTAGACTAAAATTGTTTCCTAACTTTTTAGAGGGACTTTATTCTCCCCTCCAGCTTTCTCTCACAACTTTTTCTGAGTAGTACGTCAGGCTTTATATTAATTTTAAATTAGCTTAGAATTTCATGATGTCCTGGATGTACTGACAGTGTATTTAGTTAGAATCACCACATAGGTTGGTGGTTGTTTTGCAATTAAAACCTTTACTCATGGCCGGGCACAATGGCTCACGCCTATAATCCCAGCACTTTGGGAGGCCCAGGTGGGTGGATCACCCGAGTTTAGGAGTTAGAGACCAGTCTGACCAACATGGTGAAACCCCATCTCTATTAAAAAACAAAAAACTTTACTCATAAGATTCTCATATAATGTAGAACTTTAAAATGGTAAGTTAAACATTTGAGAAAAGTCATCTTACGTTTTCTTGTCTTCATCTTTTTGAGCTTTCTTCAGTCTGAGTTTCTCAAGAACATTTTTGTAACTCTGGGCATAATTAAAAATAGTTTGAAAATTTATCAGAATATATCCCTTATTATTAATGTTTTATCAAGGTAAAAGAAATATGAAATGCTTGTCCCTCTGGATTGCTACCCTAAAGGATTGTGGAGGTAAATACTGTGATTATCGTTCTTTCACCTCATTGCTACATAAGCTTTATGCCTGTTGGTGAAAACACAAAAGGGGTTCTTTTATTGGGGGCATCATACTGGAACTTGGAAAAAGCAAAAATCTTTAAAAAGCATTAACCTATATTGCATTAGGAATGTTAACACTTGGGACGGGTGCGGTGGCTCACGCCTGTAATCCCAGCACTTTGGGAGGCCGAGGCGGGTGGATCACGAGGTCAAGAGATCAAGACCATCCTGGTCAACATGGTGAAACCCCATCTCTACTAAAAATACAAAAAATTAGCTGGGCATGGTGGCGCGTGCCTGTAATCCCAGTTACTCAGGAGGCTGAGGCAGGAGAATTGCCTGAACCCAGGAGGCGGAGGTTGTGGTGAGCCGAGATCGCGCCATTGCACTCTAGCCTGGGTAACAAGAGCGAAACTCCGTCTTAAAAAAAAGAATGTTAATACTTTTAATGACTATAACCAACATCATGAATTCAAGTGATAAAAGAAGGGGGGCGGGGAACAAACTCATTGAGGGATAGCTTAACAGTTTTTCTGGTTTGTTTTACAGATTCGTTTTTGGACAAAGTTTGTAATCCCCACTAACCCCACAAGCATTCCATATCATAGGACCTCTTCTCTGTGAAGTGCTGTGCTTTGGGAATATGGGGTATGCAGAGATGGCCAAACTGGCAGGGGAGATGTGACTGGTACACATGTAACTGTTACAGCTCAAACTGAGGTGTAGGTATTGAGAGAAGGACAGGACAGATTCCACTTTTTAAAGAAGAGTAGAGTGGTAGCCAGAGAGAAGAGCTGTAGCAATATTTCAGGGGTCAGAGAATGACTTGAGCAGAGGCTCAGAGAAGAGAGTGAGAACAAGCATGGTGTATAGCACAGTGCTCAGAACAGATTAGCCAGGACACACAGGGTTGTAAATAGAGGCAGAAAAGTAGAAACTATAGTAAAATTATAGTTAATGAAGATAGTTTGGGACTGTGAGACTTGAGGATTTAGAATATTCGGGTAAGGAATTCGGACTTGACAGGCCTAGGCAAACTGATAATCAGATCTGGACTGGCATAGGGAAGAGGCTAGAATAGTCAGGAAATGTTACCATAGTGAAGGCTGGGTGAAAAGTACTGAAAGCCTCATCAAGTGGTGTCAGTTAGAATTTAAAGTATTCCACAAATGTAAGCAGGAACTACAGAGATAAGCTATACATAAGCCATGACAATAGATTATATAAGGGATAAGGAAGCAAATTCTTTTCAAGGTTTTTGAGCCAGGAGTGACTCAGGATAGTGCTGCCATTAACAGAAACAGGAAAAGTGAGGAAGACAAGACACATGGAGTTCTGAGTTTAGATTGTTGATAGAAATTGAACAGCATCCAGAGTAAAAGCTTACCAGAAGGAAGAGCAAGTTTTATTATAATACTCAATAGTGCTTTGCATTTAGGAAATCACTCAATAACTTGATATATTGAACTTTGAAATAATTTTAGCTATGTTTTTAAAGCCAGAGAGCATATCTCACTTCCATAGTCATGAAATAATGTGAATATGAGTAACACTGGATCAAAACACAAAAACCAACCCTGGGGGTGGGATGGGGTGAGTGGGGAGAACACCACTTGGGGTTAAGTGGTATTGAAACTACAAGAGGATAAGTTTTATGAGATTGGTCTTAGAATTTTAATTAGGAAAGGAATTTGATTTACCTGTTTAATCATTTTACCAAGTTCAAAATCCGGCCTTCTGCCTATTGAATAATCAGCTTTCACTTCAGAATAGGTATCATTAATAATTGCCAAGAACATATTCTAGGGATAAATAGCAGATAATTCTTTCAATAAAAATTTAGTTTAAATGTTAGTGACTTTAACATGTTTTGGATTTGTAAAATTATGTTTAACTTTTAAAAGTAGGCTGGGCACGGTGGCTCATGCCTATAATTCCAGCACTTTGGGAGGCTGAGATGGATGAATCACTTAAAGTCAGGAGTTTAAGATCAGCCTGGCCAACATGGCAAAACCTCATCTCTAACAAAAATTAGCCAGGTGTGGTGGCACACACCTGTAGTCCCAGCTACTTGGGAGGTTGAGGCAGTAGAATCACTTGAAGCCAGGAGGCTGAGGCTGCAGTGAACCAGTCATGCCATTGCACTCCCGCCTGGGCAACAGAGACTCTGTCTGAAAAAAAAAACAAAAAACAAACAAAAATACACCAAGTTTTAAAAGTAAACTGTATGCTCAAAAATGGGGAAATGACTATGCAGACAATAAAGTAGAATAGATAATGTGTAGTGTGTGGGTATGGGCAAGTTTGTTTACAGTAAATGAGAAATGCAGAATGTAAAAGAATGCATATGAATTGATTATATACACATAAATTCATATTACATGATGGAAGAAAATTTAGAATAATGTAATTATGTGTTCATAAAGGTGTTTTTTATTTTTTTTTTGAGACAAGGTCTCAAAAATGTTACTCTATCACCCAGGCTGGAGTGCAGTGGTGCAATCTCAGCTCACTGCAGCCTCTCCCTCCCAGGTTTAAGCGATTCTCCTGCCACCCAAGTAGATGGGATTATAGGTGTACACCACCATTGCCTGGCTAATTTTTGTATTTTTAGTAGAGACAGGGTTTTGCCATGTTGCCCAGCTGGTTTCGAACTCCTGAGCTCAAGTGATCTGCCTGCCTTGGCCTCTCAAAGTGCTGCAATTACAGATGTGAGACACTGCACTTGGCCAAGGGTGTTTGTTGTGGTTGGTGTTGTTTAATTATATGAAGCTGCTTAAATTCACAGTCTTACTACAGCTCCTACAACTACTAATGTCCAGATAACACAAATGTAGAAAGGATATTCTTATCTTCACCAACCTGCCTTTCACTGTGGCCCAGCTCTAGCTCTGTAACCCTAAGACTTTTGTCTGTCACCAGGGGATAACTTCAGGGCCTGACAAAAAGTGTTTTCATGGAGGACAGTAACAATGCCTTGACTAGGAAGGCAAGGTTCCTGGTTAGGAAGGCTGTTCTGAGTGCATGTGAGAGATCTGTCCTGACAACTCCTGAAAACCACAACCTGGTAAGCATTTAGCCCTAAGGGCCAAAAGCCATTGCAATATGGGCAGAATATTAATGGACAAATTATAGCTCATGGCATGCATTCCAATTATTTATGTAAATGGTTTAGCACATTCCCATCCAAAACACCCAGATGTTAACTACTGTGATTACATTCTCCATTAGACAACTTGAAAACAGTCACTGGACTAGTGAACCTGGATTACTAGGGATCCACACAATTCTTAATAAATGTAAAGTATTCTGACAGCTGCACAGAAATAATAGTTTCTTCTAAATGAGTAATTTTATTTTTTATTCTAAAAAGTAAGAAATATAACGAATATATATGATCATTCTTACCAGCAGGACAAAGAACACAAAAAAGATGAAAGTGATAAAGTAAATGGGTCCCAAGATATGATTGGCTTGCTGAATACCAGCAAAATTAAAATCTCCAAGAACAATTCGAAACTGTGCAAATCTTTAATTAAAAGAAAGAAAAACATTAGAAAATTTATCTCTTATGTACATACATGACAACTAATGGGATTACAAATGTCTCTAGGAGGATATCTAGCAGCATTGGCATATGCTTTCTGACTTTAATTATGTTAGTACAGAGTTCTGTAAAATTGGTTGTAGAAAATTCCCCTAAAAAAAAGACTTAAGGTACCTCAATAGCTGAACAGGTAATGTAGGAAATGACTGCTTTTTTTTTTTTAGACAGAGTCTCACTCTGTTGCCCAGGCTGGAGGGCAGTGGCATGATCTTGGCTCACTGCAACCTCCGCCTCCTGCCTTAGCCTCCCGAGTAGCTGGGACTACAGGCACCCACCTCCATGCACAGCTAATTTTTGTATTTTCGGTAGAGATGGGGTTTCACCGTATTGGCCAGGCTGGTCTCGAACTCCTGACCTCAGGTGACCCACCTGCCTCGGCCTCCCAAAGAGCTGAGATTACAGGTGTGGGTTACCATGCCTGGCTGAAATGACTGTTTTAATGAATGTGAACTCAGTGTGTACCTCTAACTTTTTTTTTTTTTTTTCTGAGACAGAGTCTCACTCTGTCACCGAGGCCGGAGTGTTGTGGTGCTATCTCGGCTCACTGCATCCTCTGCCTCCCAGGTTCAAGCAATTCTCCTGCCTCGCCTCCCAAATAGCTGGGATTACAGGCATGCACCACCACGCCCTGCTAATTTTTTTGTATTTATAGTAGAGACAGGGTTTCACCATGTTGGCCAGGCAGGTCTCAAACTCCTGGCCTCAAGTGATCCACCTGCCTTGGCCTCCCAAAGTGCCAGGATTAAAGGCATGAGCCACTGCACTCAGTCCACCTATAACATTTGAACCTGAGATACTTGTTTACTAACTGGTTTTGGCAGTGGCCTCCTTGGCCGGCCATCTCTGTGCTCTTCTAAATATTAGAACTTAGACTTTGTTCAACAAGTGATTTTTTCAGTTTGTAGAAAGTTTAAACCCAAGAGCTCTAAACTTTCTTTCTTTCTTTTTTTTTTTTTTTGAGATGGAATTTCGCTCTTGTTACCCCGGCTGGAGTGCAATGGTGCGATCTTGGCTCACCACAACCTCCGCCTCCTGTGTTCAGGCAATTCTCCTGCCTCAGCCTCCTGAGTAGCTGGAATTACAGGCACGCGCCACCATGTCCAGCTAATTTTTTGTATTTTTAGTAGAGACAGGGTTTCACCATGTTGACCAGGATGGTCTTGATCTCTTGACCTCGTGATCCACCGGCCTTGGCCTCCCAAAGTGCTGGGATTACAGGCTTGAGCCACTGCGCCCGGCCAGAGCTCTAAACTTTCTAATGTCAGTATTTAATTTTTGCCTTAACCAACTCTTAAATTCTGATAAAACAGGAATGCCAACAATTTGTCACTTGCTAGTCTCAAATAAGTTCTGGTAATAATACTCAACATGATCCTAAGGTTTATTTTACCCTCTTTGATGCCCTGGTTTGATATGAAATACCACTTAAAATATTTTAGACCTTCTTTTTCTTATTTTAAAGATGGAAAATGAAGAAATTAAGACTTTGAGTAGCATAGTAGTAGCAAGTAGAATTACAATTTTCTAACTTGAAAATCTTATTTTATATTCTCATTAATTTGCAATGGTGCACCAGACATATCAGGAACATCAGTTTAAATTATGTGTGTGTTCTTTATGAGGAAATTTGGAAGGTTTTTTTTTGAGACATTGTTTCACTTTTGTCACACAGGCTGGAGTACAGTGGCAGGATCTTGGCTCACTGCAACCTCTACCTCCTGGATTCAAGCGATTCTCCTACATCAGCCTCATGAGTAGCTGGGATTATAGACATATGCCAGGCATGAGCCTGGTTAAGTTTTGTATTTTTAGTAGAGATGGTGTTTCACCATATTGGCCAGGTAGGTTTTGAACTCCTGAAGTCAAGTGATCCACCTACCTTGGCCTCCCAAAGTGCTGGGATTACAGGTGTGTGGAAGAAAATTTTTAATTGTATGTTGATAACTCTGAGTGATTGGTCAGTGAAAAGGGAGAAAGGCTGCTTGTCCCTTACTGCTTTTGCCAATTACATAAATGGAGTAGACAACTATCTATAATGAAGGAAGAAAAAGCATTCAAAGAAATGGGATATTGGAGTTCTAGGACTCAGAGTTATCCGAGGTTCCATCCTTGGTACCTAGCTAAGACCTGACCAAATCATACTTAAAGTATTTATCTTGCTTTTAATACTGGTTTGTAATGCTTTCCTACATAAGATAGAGAAAATAATGAATTGGAAGGAAACCAAGTCTCACCACAAATTAAATATTTTTTCTGGCATAGGAGAATATATTTTAGTGTTTCTGCCATGATCTTTGAGTTGCTATTTTGTAAAAAAAAGGTAAAGGAACAATTTCTCATTCTTTTCTCCTCTCCAGAAATTAGCTTAGTAACTAAACCTTCCACTCAGCCCTTTTCTATGAGGAAAGTGTTAAGATACTTCTGCTCTGTAAAGAATAATAAGAATGACAAAAACTGAAGCATTTACTGAATGGTTATCATCTCATAAGAACTGGAGGCTCCAAATACGATGTGTCTTTTCTTAATTGGAGCTTAGTTTATCCATTTGTTTCTTTTTTGCAACCTGAAAACAGCACCATGACACCTCAGCATAAAGAGTTATATTATCCTAAATGCTGGGATTATAGGTGTAATGGCACCCAGCCTAAACCTGTTTTAAAAATACATGCTTGGCAGATTAGCAAAGGACAATTAGGTCAATATCAATAAAAATATTAAGATGGAGTCCTGTAAAGAAAACATTTAAGATTTCTAGTGGCTGGGTGTCGTGGCTGGGTGTAATTCCAGCACTTTTGAGAGGCCAAGGCAGGAGGATCTCTTGAGCTCAGGAGTTCAAGACCAGCCTGGGCAGCATGGCAAAACCCCATCTCTACAAAAAATACAAAAATTAGCTGGGTGTGGTGGCATGCCCAGCTACTCGAGAGGCTGAGGTGGGAGGATTGCTTGAGCCCAGGAGTTTGAGGCTGCAGTGAGCTGTGATCACGTCATTGCACTCCAACCTGGGTGACAGAGTGAGACCCTGTCCCAAAAAAGAAATAAAAAAAGATATCTTTTGCCCAGAGAATAAATACTATAGAGACATGGAGGCCAATTTCCATTATTTTAGGTAAAATTGTCACTTCCAATGAAAAATGAAAAACTATTTTTCTATTTTTTTTTTTTTTAAATGGGGTTTCACCATGATGGCCAGGCTGGTCTTGACCTCCTGACCTCAGGTGATCCACCCACCTTGGCCTCCCAAAGTGCTAGGATTACAGGCGTGAGCCACCATGCCTGGCCAAAATGAAAAATTATTTTTCTAACCTGACCCAGTAATAGCTTAAAAATGGATAACATAATCCATTTGGTTCCTTCAATGCCAAATCCTAATTTGAGTGTGACAGATATTTAGCCATCAAAGAAAATAACAGCCAGGCGTGGTGGCTCATGCCTGTAATCCTAGCATTTCAAAGTTTAAAACCAGCCTGTGCAACATGATGAGACCCCCCCGATACAAAAAAATAACAATAAAAAAATCAACCAGGTGTGGTGGTGCACACTTAGTCCTAGTTACTTGGGAGGCTGAGGACCATTTGAGTCCAGAAGTTTGAGGCTGCAATGAGCTATGATGACATCACTGCACGCTAGCTTAGGTGACAAAGCAAGACCTTGTCTCAAAAAAAAAAAAAATCAAACTAAATATAAATATATTAAAGCTTATATTACTACTTATCATAGAAGGTTAGAACTTTCCATTTTTTCTTAGAAAATATAGAAGATATAATTACATTTATAATAAGAGCTTACATGGAATTCTGAAAAGTGGAAAAATCATCAACTTGTGATCCAAAAACAAGAAATCCTAACTGGGCATAAGCAAAGAATATTATAAAAAACATGACGGCAAATCCTACTATGTCTTTAATACAACGTGACAAGGTTGATGACAGTTGAGACATTGTCTTATTGAAGCTTATAAATTTGAATATCTGAAAAAGAACAAAGTTAATTGAAATAGGAGAATATCAAAGATTATAATTACTTAGAATAAATTAATTTCAGAAAAATTCTGCTTTTAATTGCAGGAGATACTTACTGATAATCATGAGTGTTTGAGGATTTGCCAGCAATCATTACAAAGCCAAAGTTGTTTTTTTTTTTTTGGTCACCCAGGCTGGAATGCAGTGGGAGATCACAGCTCACTGTAACCTCCACCTCCTGGGCTCAAGGGATCCTCCCTCCTCAGCCTCCAGAGTAGCTGGGACTACAGGTGTGCACCACCAAACCCAACTAATTTTTTTTGGTATTTTTTGTAGAGATGGGGTTTCACTGTGTTTCCCAGGCTGGTCTAGAACTCCTGGAGTCAAGTGATCCACCTGCCTTGGCCTCCCAAAGTGCTAGGGGTACAGGTATGAGCCACTGCACCCAGCCCAAACTACTTTTAAAATTACTTAATAGTTAAGAAAATCATTTTTCCCCATGGCTTTTTAATTTTTCATTAGCTATTGCACTGTTGTGTTATCTAATATAATAAAATATAAATACCTTTATCCATGCAAAAAAGATGGTAATAGCAATTATATTGTTGTAATAAATGTGCCAATATGCAAGAAAATAGAAATCTGAATATTTTTCAGTACTTTTCAACAGCTGTCCAAGTAAGAGAAAAATTTGTATATTACAGTATATGTTGAAGGAAACAGCCACAAAACATAACTAAATGGGAAAATAAGAAGGGTTAAATTAGAGAATATCTCTACCTCTAAATATCTTACAGCCTATGAGAAAGCACACAAAAAAGTTTATCAAAAGTTTAATAAAGAGGGAGAGAAAGATAGGACATATGCTTTTATATAAAATGGAAACTACCCTCAACTTATACAAGTTTAAGGTAGCATTAATTATTATGAAGTAGAAAAACATTAATTGCTTGCCATTCTAACCTATCTAAATCTTTTTTTTGAGTCATAAAACATAAATGTATAAAAAGATTATGTAACTCTGAGATCATAAGGATTTCTGCTCTGCATAATACCTAAAAGCTAAACATTTTCTACCGTGTAATACTACAAGAAAAACAATTTCCAATTACAAAAAATAAAACCTTCTGGAACCCTTTAACACTCCTTTAAGAGAGGATTTCAGAACCAGGTTATTTTAGCTATCAGAGCTTTATAACTGACATGAAAATTTTTCTTTGACTTTCCTTTCCTGAAATGCTCAGATAAACATTTAATGCTCTGTCCCCCCTTTTTTTTTTGAGACGGAGTTTCGCTCTTGTTACCCAGGCTGGAGTGCAATGGCGCGATCTCGGCTCACCGCAACCTCCGCCTCCTGGGTTCAGGCAATTCTCCTGCTTCAGCCTCCTGAGTAGCTGGGATTACAGGCACGTGCCACCGTGCCCAGCTAATTTTTTGTATTTTTAGTAGAGATGGGGTTTCACCGTGTTGACCAGGATGGTCTCGATCTCAAGGTGATCCACCCGCCTTGGCCTCCCAAAGTGCTGGGATTACAGACTTAAGCCACCGCGCCCGGCGCTATGTCCTTTTTAAGACATTAGTGGGGATACCAGAGACGTAGGTGGCTTACTTTGTGACTCTCAGAAACTTTCCATCTGGTTTTGGGAAATATGGTTTAAGTACTTGATTGGCTGTAATTAAGGGCCAATAATGGTGAAAGATCAGATTGCAAATCAGAAACATTGGTTCTTTGTTCCTAAGAGCAAGCTCTTAACATTTGTCTCGGCCTGCCTAAATCTGTTTATTTCATTATATTCCATTGACTAGAACTGATAAGTCTTTGGTGTTACTTTCGGGGACAATTTCCTCAATCCTGGTGCCCTCTGGACCCACAAGGGCCCCTCTGGCTGCTCACCTCTGTCAGTATTGTGCTTAGCCTTGCCTTTTGTCTATTTTTTCAAAATTCATTACGAGGAGGAAAACAGATTTAGGCAACATAGATCATTTTAAACAACCTTGCCCCAACAGACCCATGATTGGTGAAACTCAAGGCCCTGTAAGTAATACATTTTTTGAGAGGTAGGAAGACCTACTGTGCACATTAAAGTGTAATATTTCTGAAATCACCTTTCCCTGTAGGTTTATGTTGACCCTCCCAAGGACCAAATCAGAAAAAAATAGATTTCTCCCCTTTGGAGGCACACCATTATTAATACTATTCCAGTTCATTTTAAGTTTGACACTTGTAGCTTTCAAAATAAGTTCTGGATGAATAGAAGATTCTGTGTTTTCACATCTCCACTGGTAGGTTCAGATGTGATCCCCTTCAACCATACACATGAATATATACTCACCAGCAAAAGGAGCAGTTCTAGCCAGTTCCAAATACTTTTGAAATAGTTAGACTTAAATTCTTTTATTTTTTTGACTTCTTGTGTTGTGAATACAAAAAGGAAAATACAAAATGTGATTTCACAGGAAGCAATAAAATAATCATAGTAGCTAACATATCTGAGGAGCTTCACAGAGTAAAACTGCCATGAAGTAATTATTCCTCCAGTTGCGGAGAATTCTGCCACCAATCTGTAAAATCAGGTTTGTGAAAGTAACTGTTCATTTCAAGCATTTATATTTCAGTACTTAATGTGAAATTTTCAATCAATGATTATGTATACTTTAATAATAATCAGTTTTTTTGTATAAAATATGTTTCCTTGGGGAAATGGGTTCAATTTAAGCATCTTCTAGATTTACTTATTTCATAGTGGCTCCACTTTTTCTCTACCTGAATATTCACAGTGGTCAAAGACCAATGTAAAGGAGAAAGCAAGCTGTGATTTTTTTCCAGACATTCATTCTATTTTGTATTCAGCTTGCTTGTTCATAACTGGGAATATAAATTATGTCCATAGGAGAATAATATGTTCAAGAAAATGCTATACTGTTAGTTACTGTTATTAGTTAGAACTCTTCCCCAATATACATAATTTTTGAATACTTCAGAGGGAGGACATAAATTCTCCCTCTTTAAGATGATCAGAAATGCTTCTTGCTTCTAAATGTCAAGGTCACATATTCTAAAGCAAATGTTTTCTGCTGGATGCTGGATACAAAGATCTATGTAAAAACGGAAGTATACAAATTAATTTCAACACGACATATGAAAAGATTTTGAGGTTGTTCACTGTATCTCTGGTGTTCTCCACAACTTCTGATAATTAAGAATTCATGGTAATTTAAGGAACCAGCATTTCTATCACAATATTACAATTCCTACATAAAGATATTAGCAAATTTTATTGGTACCATTATAAGGTTCTGCCAAAACAACAAAAACAAAACCTCAGTTAACAAATAAAACTGACATCTTACACATACGAGGTAGTGAGTGAAGTGAAAGAAACTCAGTGTTATGATCTGAAGTGTAGACTAATAAACAAAAAAGGGAAAATAAACAATATTGTTTAGTTTGCCTGATACTTGCACAAAAATGAAAATAAATGGATAAGGTGTAAGTAATATGCTTCTATATGACTACTGATTAGATACGCCAGTTAACACTTTCAAAATCTGCTGAAGTTTCTAAAAAATAACAGTTTAAAAGGTAACATAGAATAAGCGTAAAACCTTCAGAGAGGAAATCTAGACTTAACTGATATTACGAAGGCTTCTTCATATGACTAAAAGCCAGTTACCTCAATGCTTCCATTCTTGTTTAGAACATAAAAACAATTTGTACTCTTCACTTCATCCTGATCAGGACTGTTGGAAAGGGTGAGTGAAGTTGGTAAAAAGCTCTGTTTCTCTGAGAGAAGATAACTTTAAAATAAAACGTATAATATCCATTGGCTGCTTAAGGCAGTTCATTTGTTTTATTCCTTTTTACAAAGTTTAAAGGCCATGGTGTGTTTCACTCTCCCTGTTGCACAGGAAGCAAAATCCCCTAAACTCCAATTCCATATTCCATTCAGAAAAAATGTAAGATTTATGAGATAAAAGTGATTCACTGATATTAAAATAATGTAACTTTTAGGTTCAGGGGTACATGTGCAGGTTTGTTATGAGGTAAACTTGTGACTTGGGGGTTTGGTGTACAGATTATTTTGTCACTTGGGTACTAAGTATACTCCCTGACAGTTTTTTCCTGAATCTCTTCCTCTTCCCACCCTCCTCCGTCAAGTAGGCCCCAGTGTCTGTTGTTCCCCCTTTTCTGTCCATGTGTTCTCATTAGTTAGCTCCCACTTATGAGAACATGTGGTATTTGGTTTTCTGTTACTCTGTTAGTTTGCTAAGGATGATGGCCTCCAGCTCCATCCATGTCCCTGCAAAGGATATGATCTTGTTTTTTTTTTATGGAATAGTATTACATGGTGTATGGCAGATGCTGTTGTTGGTCTCTCTAGCAGTCATTATCCTTTTTTCTAACAGAATCCTAATTATATTCAGTGTTTCACCCATCCCCAGTTCACTTAGGGAAAGCTGATTAAATCCCCAGGCATACTGTATGTAATTGCATTGTATGATTACTGTGATTAGATCCAATCACAGTAATCTTTTGCTAGTGCTTGATTCTGACTCCCATGTTCTTCAAAGATCAATTATATATTGAATTTAAAAAAACATCTCAACCCCTCACATCTGAACCCACCAATGAAGGAGGTATAAACCCTTATTAAGGTTTTTAATTTGTTCATGCTTGTGCTGAGATTAAAGTCATATAGTTTAAAATAAATATAACATAGGCTGAGCATGGTGGCTCACTCCTGTAATCCCAGCACTTTGGGAGGCTGAGGTGGGTGGATTGCCTGAGGTCAGGAGTACGAGACCAGCCTGGCCAGCATGGTGAAACCCCACCTCTACTAAAAATACAAAAACTAGCTGGGTGTGGTGGTGTGTGCCTGTAATCCCAGCTACTCAGGAGGCTGAGGCAGTAGAATTGCTTGAACCTGGGAGGCAGAGGTTGTAGTGAGCCAAGATCACGCCACTACACTCCAGCCTGGGTGACAGAGCTAGACTCCATCTCAAAAAAATAAAAAAAATTGAAAATTAAAAAAATTAAAAATTTAAAAAATGTAGTTCTGTCAATATGAAAAAGCAACATCACATTGTTTTATTATTTCAAAATTTAGGAACATGGAGATTACATACAATATGTTAGTTTTATATTGCTTAATATATAGTCTCATTTCTTTATGCAGCTACAGAGTTATCATTTAGTCTTAATACTTTCCTCCTCTAATCAGATTATTAAAATCTGTTGGTTTCCTTTCAGCATGGCTTCTTTATAAGTAACTCATTTTTGTCTCAAGAATGAACAATTTAAATTTCAATGTGTGATAGCAGCCAGCATCCCAAAAATGTTAGAGCCTGCGGTATATTGCAAAAATGGCTCCAGTTCTTTGCATCTTTTTGCCTGGCCTGTCACCTAGGAAAGGGTGCACTCCCCTAGCCCTTGATGCTAGACTCAATCATGGGAATTGCTTTGGCCAATGGGATGTTAACATATATGATGCAAGCAGAAACTTGAAATGAGTTTGTACATTAGAACTTGCTCTTTGAGACCTCTACAACTGCCGTCAGAAGGACATGCCTGGACTAACTTGGACCCAGGAGAAGGATGAGATACATGTAGAGCAGAACTAACTCACAGATGCACATGTGAATCCTGCCAAATGGCAGCTATACTGGCAAGCCTAACAGAGATCACTCAAGCCCAGCTGGATCAACTGAACTCTGTAAACACATGAGAAGTATTTATTGTAAGCCACTACACTTGGGGATGGCTTGTTACCTAGCAAAAGCTAAATACAAGACCTAACTTGGGTCTCAGCTCTTTACCTCTGAATCGTTTAGGAGGCTTTTGGTTATAACCCAAAACCCCAACTTAAATTGGCTTAAACAATAAATTTATTTCTGTCACATAGCAGCAGTTTCAGAGATACAGCAGACACCCTTTGTGGTAAGTTCATGGAGCTAGCTCCATTTCTTTGAGATAGTTTCAGTTTTGCCCTCTGTGTTAGCCATATGTTATGCTTCCCCAAAATGATTGTGTTCAAGCAGCAGCTGTGATTATATGTCATTGATGGCAGTAAGGAGACAGCACCAACCAAAGAGAAAAAAAATTATTCCCGTTAGGCTGATTGGGTTACCTCAGGTCACCTCCCTAACCTGGACCATGCTAATTGATTTATGCCAGGCCAAGCTCACTGCACTCTAGCCTGGGCAACAGAGCGACACTCAGACTCGGAAAAAAAAAAAATATGGAAAAGAAAATATATTTACTATTCATTAAGTGGGTCTTCATAATGATCTTTATCCTAGTCACCTTCATACTGAGTAGGCTGAGGAGGAAGAGGGGGAAGAGGAAGGCTGGATCTTGCTGTCTCAGGGGTGGCAGAGGCAGAAGAGGTGGAGGAGGTGGAAAGGGAGGCAAGGGAGGCAAGTGCATTCAGTGAAACTTTACAGATTTGACATAGCAATTTCTTTCTGAAAAATGTTTCTACACAGTACCAGTCCTTCCACCCTTTGCTTTAGTTTCCATGCCTGTATCATCGAAGGGTCTGTGTCATAAAAGAAGTCAAAAGCAGTCTTGAATAATTGGAAACCTTCTCTAGATGTCTAATATCCATTTGTTTTCTGTTCTGCTTCTGCGTTTTCTTTCTCATCATCTGGCACTGGTTTGGAAGCCCCATCTCCATCAAGGCATATTCTGTTAATTCCTCTGGTGTGGTGTCTATTAGCTCTTGATTTCTCCATGACCAGTAACCTGAAACCCTTCACCCTCCCACATTTTCTTTGCCATATCCTCCACATTTCTTTCATAATTCCTTTGATTGTCTCTGTCATGAATCCTGTGAAGTCATGCACATCTGAATACAATTTTCTCCAGTGGGAATTTATTGTTTCAGGTTTGATGGCTTCACGGCTTTTTTAAAATAACAATGACGGCATCTTCAATAATGGAATCCTTTCACACTTTCACAATGTCTGTTGGGGTTCTCTTCTGTAGTGTCGACAATCCTTTCTATGGTGTAAAGTACTGTGTGTTATGAGCCTTGAAAGTCCTCATGATCCCCTGATCTAGAGGCTGAATTGGAGATGTTGTGTTTGGGGGTAAGTGAACCACCAGAAAAAGCATCAATGGAACCAATCCAGAGAAAGAGTTTTCGTTGTCCAGGCTTTCTTGTTGTACAACCAAAAGATTGGAAGCTGGTGTTTATCTTTTCCCTTCAAGGTTAGGGAGTTAGCAGTTTTATAGATAAGGGTAGTCCTGATGATAAACCCGACCTTCATTTGCATAAAACAGTAGAGTTGGCCTATTTCTTCCTGCCTCTAATCCTTGTGCTTGCTTCTCTTCCTAATAAATGTTCTTTTCGGCTTTTTCCCCCCCCAGAATAGGGCATTTCTGTCTGCATTAAAAACCTGTTCAGGCAGATATCATTTCTCCTCAATAATTTTCATAATGACATCTGCTATATTGTCAACTGTCATTTGGTTGGCAAAAGCTACTTCTGCTATCTTGACATTTTAAAAAGTCAAACCTCTTTTTAAAAGTTTCAAACCAACCTTTGGTGGCATTAAATTCTCCAACTTTAGATCCTTCACTTTCCTTTTACCAGTGGCCACACAATGACTTTGCTTTTCTTAAATATTAGAATCTAAAGGTATGCCTTTCTTATAGCAATCCTGCATTCACACACAAGCTGCATTTTCAATGAAATAAGAAGGAATTTTGCAAAAAGCAAAGTTTTCACACCTGCTGGCATAGCTGCAGTGATGGCTTCATGAATTTTCTTTCCCTCCCTCTACACCCAGGGCAATGATCTTTAGTCTCTGGATTATTTTTATCTTGAAATAGTGGGCAACTTTAGCTGCAGACATCAATTTATGATACATAACAAGTAATTCAACTTTCTCTTGTAATGTCATGACACTTCTCTGCTTCACGGGAGCATCCCCAGTATCACTAGCGGCACTTTGTATGGGTCCCATGGTGTTATTAAAGGTTCATGGTATTGCACTAAATGTGATAAAAAACACACAAGAACTATGAGAGATCACTTTTTTTCTGAGATATGCAATTTACTGGAGAGATGAACTGCTTATGTGAAGGTGGTGAGCATCACAGGACACTTTAAATGGATACAACACTAGAGTTCACTGTAATAGCAACAGGAGATGGCTACAAAATTATTATAGTAGTACAGTGTGTACTCTAGTTAATTTTACACAGTTATGATTTAGTATTGCATCTTTATATTTGTTTACATTTTTCTTGACTACAAATGGTGACACATGTTTGTGTGCATAAGTTTTTGACAAATTTTAACTTCTTATAATAGATTTGTATATATTTCATGATAGTAAGTGATAGATGAGTACATGCATTTTATTCATTCATAACATACCTTTTTCTTAATTTTCAGTATTTCTAGGCTACATGGTTTGGGAATTATTTTTCAAATTGTCACAAAGGTCCCCCAAATTTTCCAATATATTTACTGAAAAAAATCCATATCTAAGTGGAACCTGTATAGTTCAAACTCATGTTGTTCAAGGGTCAACTGTACTAATAAAGAAGTTTTGTAGGCCATTGACCACTGTCTATGAAAAACAAAAAAATTTTGAGTCACTCACCTGATAATACAAAACAGATTTACATTAGCATTATATAAGGAAAAATCAATAAAAATAACTCTGGTCCCTCTTGTGATCCAGTTGTTCAGTCGAAGGTCAATGAACTTGTTTTTGGTTTCAGATTTTGATTTTGATAAAGTGAAAATATATCCCCCATTTCGGTAAACACCAAGAAATCCCCAGTGCCAAGGGGAGTTGGTATTAGAAGTAGAGTACCTCCATCTGTTAGACATAAAAAGAATAATGGTGAAATGAGAAAGTCCAGCTGAGAAGTATTCTAAGAATTTAAGTTAATCTTTGTTCAAAAGTAGTAGTTTTTTGGCCTGGTATGGTGGCTCATGCCTGTAATCCCAACACTTTGGGAGGCTGAGGCAGGCAGATCCCTTAAGCCCAGTAGTTCAAGACCAGCCTGGCCAATGTGATAAAGCCCTATCTCTACAAAAAAATACAAAAACAAGCCAGTCATGGTGGCATGTGCCTGTAGTCGCATCTACTCAGGAGGCTGAAGTGGGAAGATTGCTTGGGCCTGGGAAATCAAGCTGCAGTGAGCTGTGATCATACCACTGCTCTCCAGCCCAGGCAACAGAGCCAGACCCTGTCTCAAAACAAACGAAAAAAACAAAACAAAAGTAGTAGTTTTTTAAAAAGTAGTAGTAAATTCATAAGTATTATAGTAATTTTAAAGCAAGACAATGTGTTAAGTTCAAGGGATTAATATTTAATCAAATTTAATATATTTTTTACTTTTTAATGCTTATGGTGGGCAACACCACTGGACTAGGTGCTATGAGAAAATTTTTCAAAAATCCATAATTTTTCAAAAATGACCTGGGCATGGCAGCATGTACCTGTAGTCCTCATTACTCAGGATTCTGAAGCAGGAGGACTTCTTGAGCCCAGGAGTTCAAGACTGCATTGAGCTATGATTGTATTACTGCACTCCAGCACTTCAGCCTGGGTGACCAAGTGAGACCTTATCTCAGAAAAAAAAAAAAAGAAATCCGTCTTTAGGTTTGGTGGCATATGCGCGTAGTCCCAGCTACCCAGGAGGCTAAGAGGAGAGGACTGCTTGAGGCCAGGAGTTTGAGGCTGCAGTGTCTATGATGGTGTCTGTGAATAGTCCCTGCACTGTAGCCTAGGCCACATAGGGAGATCCCATTTCTAAAAAACAAACAAAAATCCATCTGTTGCCTCAGGGAGCTTAGAATCTGGAAAATGATGACCATTTTTTTTTTCTTTAACAGGCTGTTTCTGTTATGAGATGTTTAGTGTGAGTAGGACAAGAAAATCAAGGGTTCAGAAATGGGAAAACAAGGTGCTTCATAGTCTGTCTTGTAAATATCATATATTGTTTATAAATGCTCAATAAAAACTTTGTTATAAAGTCTATGTTGTTACATAGATATTTTGTTTTAATGAAAATACATACAATCAAAATAAACTGTGTATAAACTAAATTTTGGGCTGAGTACAGTGGCTCATGCCTGTAATCCCAGCACTCTGGGAGACTGAGGCAGGTGGATCACTTGAGGTCAGGAGTTCAAGACCAGCCTGGCCAACATAGTGAAACCCCATCTCTGCTAAAAATACAAAAATTAGCTGGGTGTGGTGGTGCGTGCCTGTTATCCCAACTATTTGGGAGGCAGAGGCAGGAGAATCTCTTGATCCCAGAAGGCAGAGGCTGCAGTGAGCCAAGATTGCATCACTGTACTCTAGCCTGGGTGGCAGAGTGAGACTGTCGGAAAAAAACCCATTTTTAAAATTTCATCTTTTTAACTTTTAACTTAATTATAGGATATCCAAAAAGGAAGCTTTGATTCCTTATTTCAGTCTCTCTATTCAGTTCTCCCAAAATGGATTTGAAAGGTTATTCAAATATGCACTGTTTAAGCTTGTTTTTCTACTAATAACACTATGTTTCAGCAGGGAGGGAAAATGACACTGCTAGGAAAAAGTACCTATGGTTTTTTTTTTTTCCTCTTTTTGAGATGGAGTCTCTCTCTGTTGCCCAGGTTGGAGTGTAGTGGCATGATCTCAGCTCATTATAACCTCTGCCTCCCAGGTTCAAGTGATTCTCCTGCCTCAGCCTCTCAAGTAGCCTGGATACTGGGATTACAGGTGCACACTACCACACCTGGATAATTTTTGTATTTTTAGTAGAGGTGGGGTTTCACCATCTTGACTAGGCTAGTCTCAAACTCCTGACCTCAAGTGATCCACCCACCTTGGCCTCCCGAAGTGCTGGGACCACACCTGGCCTGAAGTACCTGTTTTAGTGAAACTTCCAATAGTTGTATTTTTGAGTGTTTTCCACACATGTCTATTAAGTGGAAACAGGACGATCTGTTATGCCAGCTCTCTCCTAGCTTCCAATTTTTGTTTTTAATTAGTGAATTTTACATTTTAGACAAGTACAAATTGATTCTTTTTTCACTGTTGAAGATTAACAGATATTAACTCACAACTTCAGTAAAGTATAGAGATAGTAAACCCAATTGATAGTGTTAATTTTGGTATTTAATAAAACATTTGTACTTGTTATGAGAATTTGGAATATAAAAATAACTAAAAAATTAGTTTAGATTCCAATTTAAAATGTGTAAATAATTGCTTTATCTTGTAATTTTGGGTTGAAAGAAAGTGAATAGTACTATAATAGTTAAGAGAATGGGCTGGGTGCTGTGGCTTACACCTATAATTCCAGCACTTTGGGAGGCTAGGGCAGGTGAATTGCTTGAGCCAGGCGTTCCAGACCAGCCTGGGCAGCATGGTGATATCCCATCTATATAGGAAATACAAAATTATCTGGGTGTGGTGGCATGTGCTTGTAGTCCCAGCTACTTGGGAGGCTGAGGCGGGAGGGTTGCTTGAACCCCGGCAGTCAAGGCTGCAGAGAGCTATGGTCTCCATTGCACTCCAGCTTGGGTGACAGAGCAAGATCCTGTCTCAAAAAAAAAAAAAAAAAAAAAAAAGGAGGTATCATCATACTTATGAACTTATTAGATTTATAAGAATCATACAAGTCCTTAAGAACACTCAAAACTCCTATAAAGAAGAAACAAACAGAAAAACCCAGCAATGATTAATCTTGGGAGTTCAAGAGAGGTTGTTTAAGAAAGGAAATATGATCATGTTGCTTTCCTAAACCCTTAAAAAAAGGAAATATAATCAGATCACTCATATTTATAATATAAACATTGACTAATGATTGACAGTAATTATGATGTAACTATACTGAGAGGCTAAGAGGAACAGGAAGAGTGTGCAGAGGGGGTAGCAATAAGAGAGCTATATGATAGATCACCTTCCATGATAGAAAAACAATAGAGGCCAAGTGCAGTGGCTCATGCCTGTAATCCCAGCTCTTCAGGAGAGCAAGGCAGGAGGATTACTTCAGGCCAGAAATTTGAGATCAGCTTGGGTAACACAGAAAGACCCTGTTTCTACAAAAAGTGGAAAAAAAAAAAAAACACTAGTCAGGTATGGTGCTATATGCCTGTAGTCCTAGCTACTATTCAGCAGGCTGAGGCAAGAGGATTGCCTGAATCAGGAGTTTGAGGCTGCAGTGAACTATGAATTACACCACTGCACTCCAGCCTGAGCAAGAGAGTAAGATTCTGCCCCTTGAAGAAAAAGAAAAACAACAACAACAACAAAACATAATTGTAAGATCAAGTATAAGGTAGCAGTATGAGGATGTTATTTAAAAAGAAAAAGCATATACTAGAAGAAACAACTGTAAAAGAGCTAAAAGTAGTTGCTTCTGGAGAGTGGAAATTATAAGTAGAAAAGGGTAGACCTTTGTAAAGATTTGTATCACTTTAATAAATATTAAATTACAAAAAAAGGTTTATTCTCTTCCATATATATATATATATATATTTTGTTTGTTTGTCTGTTTGTTTGTTTTTTAGACTGAGTCTTATACGGTTGTCCAGGCTGGAGCACAGTGGCATGATCTCAGTTCACCACAACCTTTACCTTCTGGATTCAAGTGATACTTGTGCCTCAGTCTCTTGAGTAGCTGGGACTACAGGTGCCCACCACCATGCCTGGCTAATTTTTGTTTTTAGTAGAGATGGGGTTTCACCATGTTGGCCAGGCTGATCCCAAACTCCTGACCTCAAATGATCTGCCTTCCTCAGCCTCCCAAAGTGCTAGGATTACAAGCATGAACCAATGATTTTCATATGGCTCTAAAAACACAGGGTGAGTAGCACAGATTCCACCAGCTTCTGTGTCAAGGAGACGTAGTGCCAGTGGCATTGGGTTTTCACATTTTCTTTCTTTCTTTCCTTTTTTGGGACAAGGTCTCCCTCTGCAATCAGACCTTGCTGCAGCCTCAACCTCCTAGGCTTAAGTGATCCTCCTGGCTCAGACTCCTGGGTAGCTAGGACTACAGTTTAATGCTACCACACCTGGCTAATTTTTAAAATTTTTTGTAGAGACTGGGTCTCAGTATGTTGCCCAGGCTACTCTCAAATTCCTGGTCTCAAGCAATCCTTTTTTGGCTTCCCAAAATGGTGGGATTACAGGTGTAAGCCACCACACCCAGTCTCACATTTGTGGGGATCGCTCCCATGTAAGGCCCCTAGGAAATGGGCCTCGCAATACGGTGAGCTTGAGCCCGGACACAGATCCCTGGTTGGTGGAGTCGAGCTAAGGGAAAGCAGGAACCGAGAGAGGGACTATGTTATTCTAAATAATTAACAGACATTACTTTATGGATATGAGGACTTGGGAGGCAATGTGTCCACTTTCGGCTCCTTATGGTTTATTGCTTGATTGTGTTCATTTTGGACCCTTGTCACCTTCATTGTAAAATATTAACTTAAGTATTTACACTTGGTAACTTACTTACTGTAACTTACTGAGTGTAACTGTAACTTACTTACCATAACTTACTGGGCGTGACTGTAACTTACTTACCTTGACCTATTGGGCGTAACCTACTTACTGGAAGTAACCTACTTACTGGGCGTAACCTACTTACTGGACTTAACTTACTTACTGGGCGTAACTTAGTGGGCGTAACTTGCTTACTGTAACTTAAGTATGTTGATCTGGCGTAAACAACTTTGACTTCAGAAAAGTATATAATGAAACGTATTGCAAAAATAAAATTGCTGCTTGGACACAGCCTAAGCCAGCCCTCCAGACTCTGCTTTCCTTTATTCTTTCACTTCCGTGCACTCTCTCCCTCAGGTTGAACGAGACATCTACGTTGGCAGTCTTGGGGACTCCTGCAGGTTGGTAGTCCCCCGGCAGACGTGCCGGACCCCAACACACATTTTCAATATAAAATGTACACGAGTCTACACCAGCACTAGCTTCAGTCACTTTGAAACACAGTGGCCAGGCTGGGTGTGGTGGCTCATGCCTGTAATTCCAGCACAAGGTCAGGAGTTTGAGACCAGCCTGGCTAACATGGTGAAACCCTGTCTCTACTAAAAATACAAAAATTAGCCGGGCTATTCACGAGGCTGAGGCAGGAGAATTGCTTGAACCTGGGAAGCGGAGGTTGTGGTGAGTGGAGATTGTGCCACTGCATTCCAGTCTGGGTGACACAGTGAGACTCCTTCTCAAACAAAACAAAACAAAACAAAAAAAACACCCCATAATGGCCATAAGCATCTTTGGCAAGCATCATCAGATGCAGTCCCTGTAGAGCATAACTGCCCCATTTTAGTAGGGACAGTGAAAGAAAAAATCACTGAAGGAAGGCAGAGTGAGAGAGGAGAGAAGTGACAGAGCACACCTAAGATACCCACAAAGGATCCCAAATTGTCCTGGGGATGTGTTGTGGGCATCTTGCCACAGCCAGAAAAGCAGATTAATTGACCATTTTAGAAGCAAAAATTGATGGTTTGTCCTGTGTCTAATATGACTAAGCATTTTATATACCAAAGTCAGAAAAAAGAAAACACTTTGTATCCTAAAATAAACAAAAATAATAGGTTCACCTTTCCTTTTCTAAACACTGCTATCTCCCAATTTTCCTTTTTTTTTTTTTACTACGGCTGAAACAATCTCCTTATCCTTCCAGGCCCCATCTGGCATTACTTGGAAAACACACATCTAAAAGATACAATGGTAAATGCTAGAAAAAATTACAGTATAATTTTATGCTACTTACTCACTATTACTTGTAAGGCCAAAATTAGAGAGGTCTTCATTTGCAGAAGTGTATTTGCCATAACATTCGCTTATCGAAGACTGAAAAGATGAATAGACTTTGCATGTGTTGTTGCGGACTTTTAGTTGACGAACTCTGGGGACTCCTAGAAGTATGTTCTCATAGTAGATGCGACTGCTGTTCTTCAAATTATACAGCTGCTGGTTATTGTACCATGAATCCCAGTACAGACCTTCCAAAAGGGGTCCTTCCATAAACTTCATATAGAAAAATAAATGTCATGGGAAAAATATTTTCATGTCAATAGAATCTACATTCACAACATTATGCATAAGAGATTCTGAGTATGAAAATTAAACTGTTGACCAAGCCACCATTAATGGTAATCGTAATGCTAATGAAGCTACTGCGGATGGTTAACACTCATTAAGCATGTACTGTGTACTAGGCCCTGCTCTAAGCACTTTACAAGCATTAATTCATTGAGTCCCATAGCCCTTCTTCTCTCCTTATTGAAAATTTTCTTCCAATACATGAGTATCAGAGCTGGTCATAGCTATACATCATGACTTCACCCTAAAGATGTCTCTACATCTCCTCCCAACTCTTCCCCAACTCTGGGCAAGGTGCCTACTACTCCAGGCTCTGCCTGCCCCTTGCTGCTCATTCTGAGATCCCAAGCCTAGGGTTCATTTACTTCCTCCTTTTGTCTTCTCTGCCATTGGCCACATACACGCTTCAGATAACACAATAACAAAGTGGCAAGGTGACCTCTACTTCTTTTATTATTCTTTCCTATTTCACCTAACCAGCTAGGATCATTTAGCCATCTCACACTTGCCCTCTCACTTTCAAGAAATGACCCTGTCTCCTTGATAAGTTTCAAAATCCTGTACAGCATTCATGATATGACCTTTGTCCAATTCATAATTTGGCCTTGTCCACCTCATCTTCCACATGCTCACAATATCAAACATAACTCCATGTGTAGAATTACTTATAGAACATATTGTTCCTTGTCCTAAAATATCCATCCCTGATTCATCCTTCAAAATGCAACTAAATTGTCATCACCACTGGAAGCCTTCTCTAACTGCCTTGTTCTTACATGCCCCAATGTGCATATGCCAGGTTTTGTGTCCTGGGATAGCTGAAACTGCTGTCCTCTTAACTGTTCTTTCCTCATAATGTGAGTATGTTGTTATGTTAAATGTAATGGAAAAAGCAAGTCTGCTCCAATGCTGAAGGAATAATTCCCTTATGTAAGTAAAAACACCATGATATTCTTATATGTACTTTTTGTTGTATACTGAATATTACTGAAACATATACACAGTAAAGGGTTGTATGCCAAAACCACATATATTACACTGTCTGGGCAATTAAAGAACTTTTTAAGAGTACATTTTGCTGGGCGCGGTGGCTCAAGCCTGTAATCCCAGCACTTTGAGAGGCTGAGGCGGGTGGATCATGAGGTCAAGAGATGGAGACCATCCTGGTCAACACGGTGAAACCCCGTCTCTACTAAAAATACAAAAAATTAGCTGGGCATGGTGGCGCGTGCCTGTAATCCCAGCTACTCAGGAGGCTGAGGCAGGAGAATTGCCTGAAGCTAGGAGGCGGAGGTTGCAGTGAGCCGAGATCTCGCCATTGCACTCCAGCCTGGGTAACAAGAGCGAAACTCTGTCTCAAAAAAAAAAAGGGTACATTTCACTATACACAATTATAGACTGACTAGATCCTAACCCTCACATAAGATGTAAGTCTTCTATTTAACAAATGAAATGAGAATGTTTAAAAAAAATCATAATTTTTTCTTTGATGGAGTCTTGCTCTGTTGCCCAGGCTGGAGTGCAATGGTGGGATCTTGGCTCACTGCAACTTCCACCTCCTGGGTACAAGTGATTCTCCTGCCTCAGCCTCCTCAGTAGCTGTGATTACAGGCGCCCGCTGTTATACCCGACTAATTTTTGTATTTTTTAGTAGAGACAGGGTTTTTAACATGTTGGTCAGGCTGGTCTCGACCTCCTTATCTCAGGTGATCCACCTGCCTCGGCCTCCCAAACCAAAGTGCTGGGATTACAGGTGTGAGCCACCATGCCTGGCCAAAAAAATCAATTTAAAAAAAATTACAAGGATAGTATCACAATGAGAACATAGGCTCTCAATAAAACACTTACTGGTTGGTTGTTTCTAATAGTTTAAAGAAATGATATTTATTTTTACTCATTTCTTCAAAAGATATTCATTGGGTACTCACTGTGTATGCCAAGAGTTCATGGACTACCTAAATCTACTTCATCCACAGTCACACGATACTTTACCTTCCAAAACTCAGTTATGCTGCGAATAGACTTAAAGTTGGTTCTTTCTTCACCAGGCACAGAAGTGTCCAAAAATAGAGATGACATAACTTTGTTTAAGTAATACATATGTGGGTTTACCATCCCAAAAGTCACTAAGGAGAAGAATTTTTTGTTTAAAAAAATTGTTTAATAATTTACATTTAAAAACTTATCAGGATTAAAAATGTTATATTTTGTTCTCAATTTTGTTTTGAAAATTAAACTTTATTATCTAATTATAAAAGTAATAATTTAAACAAATCTAAAATAGAAATATAAAAAATAGGATGTAGTTTCTAGAATTAGTTTGGCAAATATTCTTGATTTTTCTTTATGCATACACATTTATAAAGAAAATAAGTTTATTTTTATAAAAATGAGGAGACATTATATACACTATTCTGCAAGTTGGCTTTTTCTCTACATGAGAATAAGGCAATATAGTATGGTGAGTGGTTAAGGTTATATAGACTTTAAATTCAGACAGATAAAGGTTTGAGTCCCATTACAGGGATGGTATCCCTTACCTCCTAGTTTTGTTGTGAGAAGTGAGATGATGCACAGAGAACATTTAAAACTGTGTTTTGGCACATGAGTTTTTTAAAAATATTAACTAGTGGCCAGGTGTGGTGTCACACTTGTAATACCAGCACTTTGGGAGGCTGAGGTGGATCACTTGAGGTCAGGAGTTCAAGACCAGCCTGACCAACATGGTGAAACCCCGTCTCTACTAAAAATTTACAAAATAAGTTGGGTGTGGTGGCACAGGTCTGTAATCCCAGCTACCCGGGAGGCTAAGGAAGGAGAACCTGGGAGGTGGAGGTTGCAGTAAGCTGAGATCATGCCAATGCACTCCAGCCTGGGTGACAGAGTGAGACTCTGTCTCAAAAAAAAAATCATATTATAAATGGAGATTCAGGTTGCTTTCTTCATTATATATAAAAAAGTGTTCTTTAAAAACTCTGAATAACGGGATTATATGTGATCTTTTAATTTTTAACATTTTCAAATGTTCTGTAGTAAGCATGTTGTTTTCATAACTAAGCTTTTATAAAGCAGTCTAAGATATCTTAATTTATAAAGTTGGCTACAGTTATTATTTTTTCTTTGTTTTTTTTTCTTGAGACAGGGTGTCAGCCTGTCACCCAGGCTGGAGTGCAGTCATTGCAATAAAAGCTCACTGCAGCCTGGACCTCCTGTGCTCAAGCAGTCTTCCACCTCAGCCTCCTGGGTAGCTAGGACTACAGGTGTGTGCCACCATACCTGGCTAATTTTATAGTTGTCTTTTCAATCAAGATGGAACTCAAACTCACCCCTACACCACCAATTAATTACTTAATTGCTATACAATTGCCAGTGTGTAGCATATACCAACATGAGATAAATGCGAGCTTTCATCAACTGTATATTGGATGCCATAAAGACAAATGCTCTTTAATACTCCTCTTCACGTATTAAGCCAATGCTATTGACCCACAGATAGGTGGAATGCAGGTTGAGATGTTTTCCCAGTCCTTCCTAATGATTTGCATTGACTCAGCACAAACATATATATATTTTTAACTGCATTAGGTCAGTAAAAAGAACCAAGCTAATGGCAGACACCAAGATGAACTTTGGCCTCATTTGTACTTTGATTTATGAAACTCTGTTGTGTCTATATGACTCTCAAAATAAAATTGCAGTTGCCAACCCAAGGGATGAATTATGTTCAGGACAGAATTGCCAAATGAAAGGAATAATTATATTCAATCAATATTGACTATGGAAGCTTCTTATATATGCGATGTAAAATTTTGCCCCTTAAGAACTGGAAATAGTCAATTTCTAAATGAAATAAATCTAAATGAATTTAAGATTATGTCTAAACTGTGTCACTATATTTTGAGTTTTAGTAGCCTCACAGCTTAAGGTTTTGAAGTCTGTATGTTTTATTTTTCATCTTCATATTTTAACTTCTTAGTTCAAACAAACAGCATCTTTATTTATATCTGTGTACTTACATATACATAGGTTTATTAAAAAAATAAAGTAGAGTAACAACTCCTGAAGTGTGGTTCTAATTTCTACTTCGTTTCTGTAATGCAGCTTATGTTTCGAAGTCCCTGTGAGGTATAAGACAAAATTTTTCCTTACATTATTATGTAATTTATAATTTTTTTTTTTTTTTTTGAGACGGAGTTTCGCTCTTGTTACCCAGGCTGGAGTGCAATGGCGCAATCTCGGCTCACCGCAACCTCTGCCCCCTGGGTTCAGGCAATTCTCCTGCCTCAGCCTCCTGAGTAGCTGGGATTACAGGCACGCGCCACTGTGCCCAGCTAATTTTTTGTAATTTTTAGTAGAGACGGGGTTTCACCATGTTGACCAGGATGGTCTCGATCTCTTGATCGTTGTGATCCACCCGCCTCGGCCTCCCAAAGTGCTGGGATTATAGGCGTGAGCCACCGCGCTGGCCTGTTTTTAAGTGACAACAATGGAAAAACCACAATCACTTTTAGTCATTACATTGAGAGGCGGAAAGCTCCAATAGCTTCTAGCTATTTTTCAATTCTTAGTTTTACGAGGCAGGGATAATTACTAAATTTTCCCATCAGGGTAAGCGGGTCGTCATTTTTTGACTATATACTATTAATAACAGATTTTATATCATGATCTCTTCTCACCAGTCCTGTCTTAAGATGAAAAAGCAAATTACAAAATAAGCAAAACCCCTCATCTGTCCTAACCGTTTTCTCCACCCTCAATACTGCTGGAGGGGGAAAGAGCACCCCGGCTTGAATTCTGTCAAGGTCACGATTCCCCTGATCAACAAAGGACTTTAGAGACCGGCCTAGCGACGGCCACTAGACAGCAGGTGGCAACGCCCATATCGAGCCTCCGGCCAGAGGGGAGTGCCACGGCGCCCAGTGCACTGGGACCATCTGTCCCTCTCCGTTTCTCCAGGGGAGGCTGTGAGGGCTAAAGGTGTCGCCAGTCACATCTCTCACATGAATTTGGGGCCGCAGAGTTCCTTCCAGGGTGTCTGGAATTGCCATATCGCCCCTGTCCCTCCTACTCCTTAGAAGCATCCCTCACCGCCTCGGTGCCACCGTGACGCCTCAGCCATGGAGGACCTGGACTACACTGCCAGTTCGTCTTCCCGACGCCTCGGCGCCTGCGCGCTAATTTCCGGCGTGCGCTGCTCGGCTCTGACGCCTGCGCGAGGCCCCAGCTCCTCCAGGGCTGCGAGCTACTCGACCAGTCGCCACTGCGGCTGCGCGGCAGGGTCTGCGGGCTGCTGGTTGCGGGGCGTCTGGTGTGGAGGGCCAACTTCTGGGAATAACCTGGCTGTGGGCTTAAAAATCGCATTCATTCATTATCACGGGCTTCTCTTTCTCGAATGTCTTTAACATTTATCGCCTTGTTTAGTCTCCACATCCACCTCCGTGAAAGGTAGGTATTTTTGTCCTCATTTTAGGCCTGAAGAAACCGAGACGCTGAGAAATGAAATAATTCACTGAAAGTTGGGGCCAAGTCTGTTGGATGCCCAAGCCCGAATGCCTAACCGTGACCCCACGCTGCTGCTGCTGCTTACAGAAACTGGTTATTAACCGAGAGCTGTTGCTGGAAGTAGCTTCCACTCCCCTGCCCCAGCTAATGTTAAAATAGATGAAAAACCCTGCAGTGGTTATGTGAAAGGGCAGGTGAAAACGGGAGTCCTTGGGAGGCCAGACCCACATCTGACCCAGGAGCTTTGCAAAGATGAGAAGGTTGGTAAACCAGCTATAGAAAAGGCCAAACTAATTTGGCTGTAAATTAAGGCAGCCAAAAGCCCTCCAGGATGTAAGACAGGACGGATTCTCGTGTTGATAAAAAGGAAAATAAAATGGAATCCAGTCCAAAGGCTCCAGGGAAACCTGCAAAGAAAACGACTACACAGTTTTGAAAGGAAAAGATAAAGCCACTTTTGTTATTTCCCTGAAAGAGATGTAGACTGATGTCGATAAATGCTGTTTTATGTGTAGATAAAAAGCAAAACTAGGCCACACAGTAGTGAGGGTCAAAAACTACCATTGATACGAGGAACAGGAGAGGCCTCACCAAAGGCTGACAGCCAGTGAACTAGAGGAAACTAGAGGCCTGAGGAAAAAAAAGAGTTTTGGAATAGTTTTAACGAAAGGATTTAGGCTTTCTGGTACTGGGACTCTAGCTGCTCACAAAATTATGCTTTCTAATGTAACAGGTTATCTGAAGTTGAAGTTATTGGAGGAAAAACACCCATATGTAGGCATTACATGATAATAATTTTAAAAGATGGAGTCTCCCTATGTTTCCCAGTCTGGCCTCAGATTAAGAAATCCCCAGCTTGACCTCTCCCAGCAGCTGGGACTACAGGGCTGCCAAATTCACATTAACTATGAGAATTAAGCAGGTAACCTCTAGAGACTATTCTTATTCCTCTGTATCGTTCCAATTTCAGTATATGTGATGCCGAGGCAAGCACAAGACTATTCTTATTCCTTTGAGCACAACAGACTAAAAAATCCTGAAGAATTAGAGACCTATTTGGTTAAAACAAAATCATAATTCAGTAGATTCAGTCATAATTTAAGTTATTGTGGTTGCCTTTGAAGTGCAAACCATGGAAAGTCTAGCTCAGTTTCTAGAGGAATTGGCTGAGCTGTGAGCTTCACACTGTTCTAGAATATAATTTTGCTTTTTTGGAACTTGTTATTCATAGGTTTTGCTGAGTGGAGTTTTATTTTACAGATCTAGTCTTTTGTGAAGAGGAGACAGTCTGTTTTAAATAATTAAATTTTATTCTCTTTTGACATAAAACTGTGGAACACTCAGATAATCTATACCATGTTAGTATTCCTAAAAGAGAAAACAGGTAAAACAGTATTTAGAAAGCAGTACCAGTAAACCTTATTACAAGTATTAGATGTGTTTAAAAAGTTGATATTAATTTATAACCTGTAATTGTTAAATGTGTATGACTTAAATGTTAAAATCCTGCATTTTAAGATCATCTTCTACAGTTACAAATCCATATACCCAGATTTTCTGTAGGCTTCACAAATCAGAAGAGTGGGTAGAATGTGCAAGAGTCAAAGGATAAATAATATTATAAATATATATTAACTATATTACCTAATTAAAACCATAATCTGTTAATACAGCTATGGATTAATTTCAAAAAATGTAATCAAATATATTACTAATGGTGTAGTTGGCTGTTTTCCAATGTTGGTAAAGTTATTAAAGTTCTTCACTTTCATAGAGTCCAGATTGAGCTGCCAAACGCTGAAACTCTCCTTCTGGGTTAAAAGCTTGTTTCACATCCAAACCTTTCCCGTTAAGTGCTAAATATTTGCTGAAGGTTGGTCGAACCCGTAACTTCTTAGGAGCTGGAAGAGTTTGGTTTGGACGTGCTGAAATAGATCATATAAAAGTTGATTCAGAAAATCTGTTCTAACCAAATTGGCCATATTTATTATCAGACAGGAAAAGAAAAAAGAACCAAAACTGATTATATATGGGGAAAACCTCTCAAATTTTATACTCTGTTGGGATTTGCATTTCTTATTAAATCTTCCTCATTAAATCCCTTGTAAGACTTTGGTTAATAGTATGACATACCTGTAACGTCTAATCTTGTGTTACATGTGGTCACTCCAGCTTCATTAACTGCTGACACAGTATACCACCCAGCATCTTTCTTGTTTACATCTTTTATCAGTAAAGTAACTCTTCCAGTGTTATCTTGATATAAGCTGAAAAAAATTTTTAAGAAATGAAAGTACAGGAATTATTTCTGTGAAGTGGATGTCTCTGACCTATACTCAGACTAAGAAGAAAAAGAAGCATTTGAAAATTCCGAAGCTATATCTATTTATTGCCAAATAGCTATTAGTCTTCTTGAATTAAAGATTCCCACTTGGGTGCTGTCTTCCTCTACCCTTCAATCTGTCCCCTGATCTGAGGGTCCCTTGTCATTCACTCTGGTGTTTCTGTGTTTGTATTTATATGTATGTATAGGGGAAAGGAGGGGCCCTGACCTGTTCCCTTATCTGCCTTCTACCTCCTCCTTTGTTAATAAAGGCTGAAGCTTTTTTGTAAAGAAAAAAAAAAAAAAGAGACAAATCCCCCCCTTAATCTGGTTTATGTCATTTGTGTCCTTGAGCCGTCTTTCATCATCGTTGATAAAAGATAAATCCTCATCTACTTTATGGCTTACATTTCCGGTTAGTGGAATCTGGCTTTTTGAAGTTTTCTTATATTTATTATCTAATATATATTTTATTTTTCTTTAGTGTTTTAAAAACTAGACAAATTGAGATAAATACATGCCATTTATAATGCATGTTAAAAAGTGTAACTGGAAATAAACTATAGTAAGTAAATAAACTATAGTTAAGTCTAGAAATATATATCCTACCTTATTCGGTCAGTGTTGAATTGTACCATTTCATTATTTCTTTTCCAGAAAAGCTTTGGTGGAGGTATAGCAGAGATCTGGCATTCTAGTTTCACTGAGTCTCCCTCTAAAACCTTTTTGCTCTGTGGTTTGTAGATAAACATTGGTGCTCTTTTATGTTCTTTTGCTATATATTAATACAAAAATTCAAGTATTTGAAATATTATAAAAAGGCATTAAATCAAACCAAGGTATTATGAAATTTGTATGTTGATATTAAAATGTTAAAAAGCAACAGCAACGGAATTAGAAATTTTTAGTTCAAAAGATATGCAATACTATTTTATTATACCATTCAGAATTCTCAACTGTAATGACATGATTCATTGAATTGATAATTATAGATAATTATATTTCATTCAAATTTAAGTCACATTCTTTTTTTTCTTGAGGTGGAGTCTTGCTTTTCAGGAGTGTAGTGGTGTAATCTTGACTTACTGCAACCTCCACCTCCCGAGTTCAAGGGGTTCTCTTGCCTCAGCCTCCTGAGTAGCTGGGATTACAGACGTGCACCACGCCCAGAAAATTTCTGTATTTTTTTTAGAGGACACGGGTGTTTGTTGTGTTGGACAGGCTGATCTCTTAACTCCTGGCCTCTAGTGATCCGCCCACCTCAGCCTTCCAAAGTGCTGGTATTACAAGCATGAGCCACCATGCCTGGACCAAATTTAAGTTATACTCTTTTTTTTTTGAGATGGAGTTTTGCTCTTGTTACCCAGGCTGGAGTGCAATGGCGCAATCTCAGCTCACCGCAACCTCTGCCTCCTAGGTTCAGGCAATTCTCCTGCCTCAGCCTCCTGAGTAGGTGGGATTACAGGCACACGCCACCATACCCAGCTAATTTTTTGTATTTTTTTTTTTTTTTTAGTAGAGATGGGGTTTCACCATGTTGACCAGGATGGTCTCAATCTCTTGACCTCGTGATCCACCCGCCTTGGCCTCCCAAAGTGCTGGGATTACAGGTTTGAGCCACCACACCTGGCCCAAATTATACTCTTTATCATATCATCTATAGGGAGGTAGCATGAGTGATGGAAAAGAGTGTCAGACAACTTGGGTTCAAATTGCCTTTTGGCTCCATAAGCCATGCCAAATTGGTAAAATTTTATTTAGTTTCTCTGATCCTCAGTTTTATCTATAGTTAAAAAAAAATCCAGGTAGTAGTGACTGTTGTGCCTACCACATAAAATAATTGTAAGGAACAAATGAGATAATAAAGAGATACTTTGTAAACTGTGAAGGAATATGGGAATATCAGTAATTATCATGAACTTATTTTCAACTACCTGAGGGGAAAGAGGAAATGATAGTTCAGTACCATAACCCTGGTTTTTCTGAAGGAGAGATGAAATTGAACAGATGACAGCCAAGAACTCTTTCAGCTCTACTATTGTAGTATTTCGGAAGCCATTGGTACAAATAGAATTTGCCTAAACTTTAATCACTTAAATTGTATGTGTTTTTTAAAATTTCCAGCTCACCAGTTTTTCCCTGAGATTGAGGCCCTTTGGTATATTATGGAATTATCTTAAAGATTTTGTATTGATCTGGGTAGAATATAAACTCAAGAAAATAACTTATCCTTTAATCCAATCAAACTTATATAATAAGCAGTGAATTATAGCAAAATGTCTCTAATGCAATATACAATGACTTAAAGTATTAAAAATGTGGTATGGGTTGAGTATCCGTTATCTAAGATGCTTGGGACTAGAAGTGTTTTGGATTTCTGATTTTTAAAAAAATTTTAGAAT